GTAGGCTTGCTAGCCAATTTTGTTTGAACTGATCTATGAAGTTCTGTTTAATGGTTACATGTAGCCATGTTTTGTTAACAAAAAATATGTTGGGGGTTATGTTACCATGGTTACCAACAGTTTAGGAATTAGGGGCCAAAAATAAGCATTTTTGTAACTTCCAGACATAACTTGTTTGTTAGTGTATGGATCTCTCTGACATTGTACCACAAGGTTCCATATCACAAAGGGAATGCTTGGATTGATTTTGGGGGTAATTGCCTCAAAATTTTAGGAATATGGGGCTAAAAAAGGGGCAAAAAACAAGCAATTTATTAGTTTCATGACAATAACTTGTGTGTAAGTCTATGGATCTTTCTGAAATTGTACTACAAGGTTCCATATCACAAAAGGAGGCTGGATTTGAGTTTGGGGGTAATTGCCCAAAACGTTTAAGAATAAGGGGCCAAAAATAAGCAATTTTCTAGTTTCCAGACAATAAATTGTGTTCAAGTATATGGATCTCTCTGAAATTGTACTGCAAGGTTCCATATCACAAAGGGAATGTTTGGATTGATTTTGGGGGTAATCGCCTCAAAATTTTAGGAATTAGGGGCCAAAAAAGGGGCAAAAAACAAGCATTTTTCTAGTTTCATGACAATAACTTGTGTGTAAGTCTATGGATCTTTCTGAAATTGTAATACAAGGTTCCATATCACAAAGGGAAAGCTGGAATTGAGTTTGGGGGTAATTGCCCTAAATGTTTAGGAATATGGGGCCAAAAAGGGGCCAAAAAACAAGCATTTTTCTAGTTTCCAGACAATAACTTGTGTTCAAGTGTATGGATCTCTATGAAATTGTACTGCTAGGTACCATACCTCAAAGGGAAGGCTGGGATTGAGTTTGGGGGTGATGAATCATAAGGGGGTTAAAAAAATTGAGGGAGGGATTTTTTTTCCTTTTTTTTTCTTTCAAATTTTCCATTTTAAATTGGTTATTTCTGATTTATATATATAAGCAAATAATAATGATATGTTTTGAATAGGTAATTTAAAAAAAATTAAGTTCTTAGACCACATTCATTCTGTGTAAGAAACCTATTCTGTGTCAAATATTTAATCACAATCCAAATTCAGTGCTGTATCAAGCTTGAATGTTGTGTCCATACTTGCCCCATCTGTTCAGGGTTCGACCTCTGCGGTCGTATCAAGCTGCGCCCAGTGGAGCATTTTATTTTACATAAATTTCATAGAAATTATTATTTTTATTTAATTTCCACAGGTAAATTTACCTGTGACTTAATTACATGTAGACACTATTGACTAAAAAAACATATTTTGCAATAACAACATCTATTGTTCTTCTCATAATCTCCCATGTAGGAATAGCCAGAATAGTAAAATACAAAATGTAGGAATAGCCAGAAGACACCCAATCAAGACCTTTATTAATTAGTCCATTGTAAGGGATATCTGTATTAAAATGCAATCAGCTGATTATTGATTATCTGTCAAAATCGCAACACTTTACAAGTTCAAGGTAAAATCCCAGTATAGTCTGATCAGGGAAAAAGTCAGAGAAACCCGAAAAATATAAACAAGATGGACAACGAACCCCTTATATATATCTTTCACCAAAGTCTCGCCAGTAATGAATTTTAATCGCCACAATTTTTATTTTTTTGCAAAATACGAAAATGGCAACCGCAGCGGAAACCCTGATATAAACTGTACATTTGTAAAGAAAAATATTAACTGTGTTTATATACATTTTCACAGATGTACAGTGTAAATGCATCTCAACAGAAGTACATTTTATATACAGGTTATCAGATGTACAATGAGTCTACAATTTATATACAGCTTTACAGAATTACAATTTATTTGTATCTATACTTATATACAGTTTATATGCATCTTAATAAATAAACATCAATATTGCTTGTACTAAAGTAGCTGTGTATTGAATGTCAGGATATTGTTAAAAAATATGTAAATCACTGGCAAAAAAAATATAAATGCAGCATGTATAATGTGTGTATTAAGGCCATACAAAAATATTGTTGGGTTCCACTAATCCTGTCAGGCCTTTTTTTTTAACAGATGAAAAAAAAAAAGACTCTCTTTTGTCTTTTAATGACAATTATCCCTTGTGCTTAAATCTGGTAAAAGTAAATAAAAGACAGCCACAAGATTGGAGCTAGAGTTATCTCTCTTTGTACATATGTTTTAAATTTGACTACAAGCAGGGACAACTATACTGTCCCTGCTACAAGTAAAACAGCAAAGCACTCAATTCTACTAAACTTGGCCCAATTTATATTTTTGTAAAGCTGATGTCTATCTATTATATAAATTTAAAAATCTGTGGAGAGAGTTATTTTAAAAACATGACAATATATTTATATGATAAAGACTGATACATACAAACATTTATATGCAGAGTCATATTATAGTTAATACATTATTTGTACATGTACCATACAGCTCTTTAATCCTTTTTTTCAAACTACTTTTTACATACTGACATAAAAGTTCTGTTTTAGTTTTTTCTCATTTTTAGATTTTTTCAATCATGGTTTTATATGTTAAAAAACGTATCTATATAAAAAAAAAAGAATTTATGAATTACCAAAAGAGGAATGGTGTTGGGATGGTTGATACTTCTTTATTGTTATTAATAGAATAAAACATGAAAATCTAAATGCAGTGGCATAGCTTCCATTGAGGCATTTCCTCAGGGAACAATAATTGAAAAAAAAGAAAAATAAAACTAGATACATATGATCGTCTCCTTTATAATTTTTGAATAGCTTCTTCCAGGCAAATTAGAGCTATATTATATATATATATACATAGAGCTACAGATATATTGTGATTCCTAGATTTGTTGTTTCCACAATCTGACACCATGCACATTATTTCAATGTATAATGAAAAAAAAACAACCTCAGTTTCTTTGCATCCAATCATCACAGTTTTTGTTTCTTTTTTCATGATTTACCTTCATTAGGAACACTAGTACTCAAATCACAAAGTTTGAAATCCTTGGTTGTATATATACACATGTACTTGACGAGCTATATGACCAACAGTGAAAAACAAACAAAAAAAGAAAAACTATTTTTATATATAGGTCAACTTATCTGAAAGAGTGCCTGGATTTACATTCATTAACATGACCAGGAACATTCAAACCTCAAAGTTTGAAAGCCATTATTGTATGACTAAAAGAGAACAACAAACAACAAAAATAGCGAAAAACCATCTTGGAAATGCATGTTATTGGCCAAGTACTGCCTGCTGGACTGTTGATACGTTAGGTGACTTAAAGTCTTATATTTATAGATAGGTAGTCTATCATTGGCAAAGGCATATTAACCTTACCAAATGAAACTTTTCCACAGATTCATCTATTATTCAATCTATTTAAACTTTTGTCAGTTCTATTGTCCTATTGAATAAATACAATAGCTATTGTTCTCTGTGTATTTTTTTCACTGGGACCTTTAAATTTCTTCTATGAGAAATCCATCACTCATTTATTAATTCACCTGAGTAAAAAAAATCTCTTCTAAAAGATGAAAATACATGTTTTACATTAAAATGAACTGCATGTGATTTTGTGTTTATTCAATATCCATTATATATTTTCAATCTGTTCAATGTTAAGTGATTCAAACATTAATAAAAGTTAATTTCTGACAAAATTTTCAACATTGTTCCTATTTAAAAAAAAATTTGTGTGTTTGACAAATAAAAACTGGAAAATGATGATGTTTAAATTAAGGCCTTCTTAAATATATTCTATAACTAAAGTAAAAAAAAAAACCAAAATGCAAATTTCAGTCAGAACAATGCTAAATAAAATGCTCCGCTGGGGCGCAGCTTGATACGACCACAGAGGTCGAACCCTGAACATTTGGGGCAAGTATGGACACAACATTCAAGCTTGATACAGCACTGAATTTGGATTGTAATTAAATATTTGACACAGCATAGGTTTCTCACACAGAATGAAAGTAGTCTAAGAACTTAAAAATTTTAAATTACCTATTCAAACCATATCATTATTATTTGCTTTTATATATAAATCAGAAATAACCAATTTAAAATGGAAAATTTGAAAGAAAAAAAAGAGAAAAAAATCCCCCCCCCAATTTTTTGAACCCCCTTATGATTCATCACCCCCAAACTCAATCCCAGCTTTCCCTTTGTGGTATGGTACCTAGCAGTACAATTTCAGAGAGATCCATACACTTGAACACAAGTTATTGTCTGGAAACCAGAAAAATGCTTGTTTTTTGGCCCCTTTTTGGCCCCAAATTTCTAAACGTTTAGGGCAATTACCCCCAAACTCAAACCCAGCTTTCCCTTTGTGATATGGACCTTGCAGTACAATTTCATAAAGATCCATACACTTACACACAAGTTATTGTCCTGAAACTAGAAAAATGCTTGTTTTTTTGCCCTTTTATGGCCCCTAATTACTAAAATTTTGAGGGAATTACCCCCAAAATCAATCCCAGCCTTCTCTTTGTGGTATGGTACCTTGCAGTACAATTTCAGAGAGATCCATACATTTGAACACAAGTTATTGTCTGGAAACTAGAAAACTGCTTATTTTTGGTCCCTTTTTGGCCCCTTATTCCTAAACTTTTTGGGCAATTACCCCCAAACTCAATTCCAGCTTTCCCTTTGTGATATGGAACCTTGTAGTACAATTTCATAAAGATCCATACACTTACACACAAGTTATTGTCATGAAACTAGAAAAATGCTTGTTTTTTGCCCCTTTTTGGCCCTTAATTCCTAAAATTTTGAGGCAATTACCCCCAAAATCAATCCCAGCATTCCCTTTGTGATATGGAACCTTGTGGTACAATGTCAGAGAGATCCATACACTAACACACAAGTTATGTCTGAAAGTTACAAAAATGCTTATTTTTGGCCCCTTATTCCTTAACTGTGGGTACCATAACCCCCAAAATCAATCCCCACCTTCCTTTTGTGGTATTGAACCTTATGGTAAAATTTCAGTGAGATCCATTCACTTAAACTAAAATAAGAGTGCGAAAACTAATGTGTCTTCGGACGATGACGACGACGCCAATGTCATACCAATATACGACCACAAAATTTTTTTTGCGGCCGTATAAAAATTTGTCAGAAATCAACATTTTATGATTAGATCAGTATTTATATTGAACAGACTGAAAATATATTATAATGTAACATGGTAATTATCACAAGAAAAATTGCAAAGTAGTTCTCTGGAATTATATATGTCTTATGATTATATATCATTATATTTGGAAAAAGCACACATCATACATGTCATATTACTGTTCAATAACATGTCAATCTTTATCATGTTTATAAGGATTATAATGAAATAATTCACCCAAAAAACACTTTTCTGATCCATTTATACATATATATATATACACTAGATACATCTACAATGTATGCTTAGGCAGGCATGAAAGGTTGAATGCATAGTTTTTGTTTCTTTTGTGGTTTATATACAATATGTAAGTAAAATATATGTTGTATAAGAATTATGAAAAGAAAGGTCTTTTGTTTTCTCAACAAAAAATCATTTTATATTTCCAGTAAACAATTGACACTATGGGATCTCCTGCCTCAGATGATGAGGAACCTGAAGAACCAACCAAGGTACATGTACCCCAGCACTTGTTAGAACATTTGAAAGTTAAAGCAACAGGAGAATCAGTCAAGTCAGATAAACGACCAAAATCTGCAGATGCTGCTACCAGGACTGTTGATAATATTGATTCCACACAAAATAACAGTACACAAGATATACAAAATCAATACCCATTATCAAATCAAGAAAGACGATCTTCTCTCCCACCTGGATTATTAGAAAGTGGAGAGATAAATAGTTTATGTGGACAAATGTTACGATACATGGGTGATGAGCAATACTCTATGGCTTGTGGTCGGCATTTGAGATGTATGGGTGACCAGTTATGCTACAATTACTTCATTAGAAATGTAATCAGAAGTTCAGGGGAGTTTCAGCACCAGAATCAAAATTCTCATGCATTGACAAATTCCCATTCTACACCAAATTTATCAAAACATTGAATGAAGAATTGATTGAGTGCACAGTATTTATACACGTTATGTCAACTTTCATTGATGTATTTAAGCTTATCAGCATGAACATGAGTTTTTTTGGAACATGATTAGACCAGAAAAATATACTGTGTTTACTGAAAATATAGTGTGTTGACTGTTACATGATAACGTCCTTGAAAAAAATATGGTCGGGATTTACAGTTAGCTTATTTTTTCAAAAATTACATGATTAAAAGAAATAAAGACAGTCAGTCAGAAACCATAAACACAAAATATTATTTTTGGTCTAATAAAATATAGCAGGATGACTATCCAAATGGTTTCACACATAGATATTAATGCAGCATGTATGTTTATGATGTGTATTGATAGAAAAATAAGGTAAAAAAATTGTACTTTTATTTTGAAAATTTTATTGACATTGGGTGTAAAAATTTTAAAGCAGGCATTATTTTTAGTAGGAATTTACAGTTGCTAATGTTGTTTGTTAACTCCTTTTTCTACCTCGACTTCATGAAGAGCCTTTAAAAAATGAAACCTATGCAAATCAAATTCCATTTCATTGTTTACAATGGGAGACAACTCAATAATTTTAGGTTTTAATTATGTTGTATATTAAGTTATTCAAACATATCAAAGATTATATGTATAAAATATTAGAAATATAGATGATGTATATCAATCTGTCCAAAAAATTGAGACTTGTCTTTTGACAGCTTTTTATATAAAATACTTATGTAAAATATGTAATCATTTACTAGTACATGTTGTTATTATTTAAACAAATATGTACATACTATTTGAATTTTTACATTTACATGTATATTTAAATGTAATATGTATATATATATATATATAAGTGCCTATAAATAGCAGCACATGACATACAAATCTATGGGAGTGTGGATTAATCAGTACAGAGATTAATTCAATTACACAAATAAAATTATAGATTGCCTAACAATGTAATTTTAACACATATTTTACATACTAAATAGTGTGTTAAGATTACATTGTTAGGCAATCTATATATATATATATAGATCCTGATTATTAAATGACTTAAAAATTAAATTATTCACTTTATTCATTATAAATAATGTATATTCAGAATGACTTTTAAGTATCAATTCAAAGATAAAAGGAAATGAAAAAAAGAAAGGTCTTTTGGGTTACTGTCAAATTTTCAAATTTTCCATAAATTTTTATGTCGCTTATTATCAGCGGTAAGCCGTTGCTCTTAGGGGCAGATTTTATACACCAACACCATAAAAAATCATATATAGACGACACGATCCTTTGCATCCGTATATAGAACCCCAATGCTGAAAAAAACAAATAAAATAACCAGGTTTTGTTTCAAACATATTCCATTTCATAAAAAGCCATCACACTCAATGGTTTACACCTTATATCTTTTCAATCAAGTCTATTGCACCAAAAAGGAAGGATTTAAATGATTGAAGAATTTATTTTACAATAGTGTGCTTTAAAAATTACATACCGCAAAAAGTTGGGTGTGAAATGACCCAGGCAGAACCATAAAGAAGCGGATAATACCAAAAGGACATTCAAAACTCATAAGTCGAGGATAATCTGACAACGCCATTGCAAATTAAACATGAGTATAAAAACAACAGTCTACAAAAAAACTACACAGGAAAAATAAAGACTGAGCAAAACGAACCACATAAAAAGCCGGAGCCGATCTTTGGTGCTCTGGAAGGCAAGAGATGCTCTGGCTTTAAAAAAGTTGGAGCCAGAAAAATCGCCAGCTGCTATATTTTGTTGCCAGTTTGAAAAGTATGGAGCCAGCTAGATTCTTTATTTCCTTTACCGAAATTGAAGCCACGTTCAATTTAAAATTCTTATGCACTGTTCATCATTTAACTTGAAGTGATGATTTGTCATGTAATGTATTGCCGTTATTTAAAAAAAAAATCCTGTCAGTGAAAGAACAAAACCAACAGGTTCACTAACACCAGGGTCAAAGCTAGGATTTTGAGGGCTTAAGTCACGTATTCCATATAATATATAAATACATTAATAAGTGTGGAGCTATCTGACCAAAAGGGTCAACTTTGCCTGAGGTAGTTGAAACCTCACTTTCTTAATAATTTCATAATTCATCGATGGAAAATGAAAGAAATAAAGTATGTTATAATTTGGAAAACGTGTGCAAAAGGTAAAAAATCAAAAATAAGGACACGTCTATGAAATAAATTTTAAAGATATCAGTTGAGGGATGTTCAAATCTTATAAATCGATTAGGAAGGTACAGATCAAGGTTACAAAAAAACCGAGGGGATAGTGTGAACTTCAAAATGAGACATACCGGGTGCATTGACAGCGTAAGCGTCTCCTACTATGTACACAGTTCACATTTAGCCTTTTCATCCTTTTCTAATTTTTTTTTGTAATGGTAAAACATTTGATGAGGCCATGTCACTGCCATTATGGAAGCTTCGCCACTTACAACAAACACCGTAAACGTTGGGTTCAAAAAAAAGCAAGTCAAGGTGGACATATGAGGTATGATTAGAGCAAAACCATCTAGACAAAATTAATTGCTCTCCTAAGGTACACCCATGGGTTGACGGTGGGAAAGAAATATGATCACCTGGAGTTCTTCCTCCAATGGTAAAACCAATGCTACAAAAGCGCCAGTTTGGCTGCTTTGCAATTGTTTTATGCCTTGTATGGATAGTGGCATGCTCTCTGCATACTGAAAGGCCATTGCAACAACTATCTGAGGGTAACGTTCCCTTTTTATAGTGACAAAATAAATTTTCCGCTATTCAGCACGGTCTACCAACTTTCAGAATCTAACTAGCTACTGGATATCTTGTTAACAAGTTCTTGTCCTGAATATGCACGATATATTTGTTTTTAGACGTTAAGCAGACTAACGGACTCATCTACTACTAGTTTATAATATTGCATAGATAACATAAACACACGAAAGTTAGGTAAACCGAAGATAAGAAAGAAAGAAATATAAGGTTAATGATAAGAAGTCTAACAGAATGGGACATGTTACAAATTTGTGTCTTATTTTCAAGGTTTGTATCCTTTTTAAATGAGTGCATTAGTGTTGTTACAGTCTCATGGACAACATGTTTTCTGTTTTTTTTTATGTATGTTATAAGTTATAAGCAAATCAATTTTATTTTACTGTTTTGCCATTCCTTGGTTCTCGTCGTCGTCGTCGTCCTCTGAAACCAAGGGACCATTTTCAAACAAACTTTGGTTTAATGATCCGTAGGGTATTTAGTATAAAGTTTGTGTTTTTTGTTCATGACTAAATATAAAACAAAGATATAAAATGCAACAAATTGTCTAGTGTATTGAAAAAATAAATAAATAGGTACTAGTAGCAAAATTATTCAGAATATCGATCAAGATCTACCGAATTCCCATTTTCCCATGATGATTTTATCCTTATTTTCTTAGCGATAATCTTGAAAACTATAAAAGAAATTGTAAACCGAAGAGATGATAAGCAAACCCAGTTGTACAAATAAATCAACAACCAAAATTGTCAATCGACTCTTTTATGAGTTATTGCCCTGAAATAATCAGCCTTGATAGTTTTGTTTTGTGTTTTTGACTATTTTTATGGCAACTACAATGGAGAGAAACTAAATAGTGGGAATGATTAGCAAGATAAAATAAATGAAAACAACACGTTATTAATTTCATGCGTACGAAGCGCTTTTCTGGATTTACCTTCACCAGGAACGCTCAAAGCCAAATATTTGAAAGCCGAGGATGTATAAGGACTGAAACAGTTGAAGAGCTATACGACCAAAAAGTACCTTAAACAATATCCAAATCCATTTAAGGTCCACTTTGCCTGAGGGAGTTGAAACCTTAGTTTCTTTATAATTTCAAAATTTATAAACGGACAATTTTAGAAAGGTTTGTTATAAATCATGTCAGTACCGAAGTACTGATAGTCCACCAGCAGAGGTATCTACCCAGTGCTGTAAAATAAATGAAAACAACACGTTATTAATTTCATGCGTCATAAAGTTCTACAAATACGTATATATAACAGAAATTGTCAATCGACTCCTTAGAGTTATTTCCTTTAAATGGAGTATTGTTTGCACATTTTTAACGTTTTGGAAACTATGATAGATAGGGAGAATCTATATGGAAAAAAGATCACAAATAAAGTACGAAGCTGAAGAGCATTGAGGACCCAAAATTCCGAAAGATTTGGCTAAATATAGCTAAGGTTATCTATTCCTGGGTTAGAAAATCCTTAGAATTCGAAAAATTCAAACAGTTAATTTATGATTATGACCATATCAATGATAAATCATGTCAACACAGAAGTTCTGACTACTGGGCTAGTGATACCATCGGGAAGAAACCTCAACTAGCAAATGCATCGAAACTGTCAATCGACATTTGCCAAATATGTTCACGTAAGATCAAGTCGAACACAGGGAATAACTACTACCGCTTGAAAATACAGTTTTCCTAAACTAATCCATATTTGTTTTTAAAGATTTCCCTTTTAAATGAATTCAGCAGTGTATAAAACATCCGCATGCTTCAAACAACCATCGTTAACGTTTATCAAAGATCTTTAATAGATTATACCATAGAAATAAAATTTTCCCGACAGTTCAGGGGTGGGGTAATCATTATCTGTAATCGTAATCTATTGTCATTGATTATACCTTTTTAAGTCATCGACAGTAATTTGTAATCATCAAAGTTTTGGAATACAGCAAAAATGTGATGAAAATATTGATTATGTTTCGATAACATTTCGATTACTTAAGTAAAATAGAACCTAGTTAAAATGCACATAGACAACTTATGTATTCTTCAGTTTATAAAATTGAGAATGGAAATGGGAAATGTGTCAACAACCCGACCAAAGAGCAGAAAACAGCCGAAAGCCACCAATTGGCCTTCAACACAGCGAGAAAATCCCGCACCCGGAGGCGGGCTTCAGCTGGCCCCTAAACAACAATGTGAATTAGTTCAGTGAAAATGGACATCATACTTAACTCCAAAACATATAAATAAACTAAATTACAAATCATACAAAAGTTTAAAAGAAGTCCGAGTCCGATGTCAGAATAGATAACAAAAGAAACTAAGTAAAATGACAATGATACATAAATTAACAAAGGACTACTAGCAGTTACTGACATGCCAGCTCCAGACCTCAATTAAACTGATTGAAAGATTATGTCTTCATCATATGAAATTCAAGCACCATCCCTCCCGTAAGGGGTTTAGTATCATACCATCATAAAATATATGAGAAAAACATAACCCGTATCATGCCAACAACTGGTTTTAGAATAAATGTGTTTTTTTCCGATGCAAAACCCTATTAGTGAATCAATATTTATACCAAAATATGCCATCTTTAATGACCTGACAACAGTATCTAACTATATCCCTTCTGAATAAGTCTGTTTCAAGGTTTTTTAAGCTTTTGAGGTGAATGCCGACATTTTTGTGCTTTGTAAAGAATATTACCATACAATATTGGATGTGAAATACCTGAACGTTTAAGATGTCTGAATGTTGATTTATATTTACGAATGATGTCCTTGTACCGATGATAAAATCTAGTAAAGTTTTGACTAGTTTGTGATATCGAAAACCCTGGTGTAATAATTTTCCCGTTATACAGAGATTTCTTTCGTTAAAATCAAATACGTTGTTACATACACGAGCGAATCGAACAAGTTGAGATATATAAACACCATAAAATGGTGACAAGGG